TCTTTAAAATATTTCAATATTTACTGAGTTATTAAATTTTCCAAAATAACAAATTTTAGAACACCCTTATGTGTCAAACTGTAACGTTAAGTTCATTTGTAAAGGTCACAAAGCATATGAATGGGTTGAATGAATTTGAAAGAGACAAAATATACTGATAGAAGGAGAGGCTTGTAATGCCACGCTGTGGCAACAAATGAAAAAGTCTCTGAATTTATGAATCAGTCAGTTGTAGTTGTATAGGATGTTACAAATTTTGTTACTTTTTTTACTTAATTAGTTTGAAAAATATTTTTTTTTAATTATGAATTTTATTTATAATTATTGGCAAGTAGCGTTAGAAGTGTGTTCATTTATTGTTGTGATTGTAAAGACACACTGTATATTTAATGACAAGGAAATAAAATGATTTAGTAGTATAGTTATTCCATTCAATATCTTATCAAACCTTTATTTAAAAACCTTTATTAATTGATAACCAATATTAGTTTTGCATCAATTTAGTGAAGATTCCAAATCTGGTGAACAATGATTATCAGTAACTTTACAGCTATATGAAAGAACTATGATGTGACTCTTTCAATTAGTATATTCATCACTGCGCAGATTTAAATTGTTGTCATAGATGTTTGTGAATATTAGTAAAAGATGATAGTATTACCAGAACTAAAAAAAAATACTCAAGAATATAATATAATTATTGTTATTACAAGCAACTGTAAAAAGTAAATATTTTATAAGCATACGTGACACAAGTCCATTTTTTTATTAACAAAAAACAAAACCGACTTTTAATATCTCACTCTGTATTAATTTTATAATTGATTTTCAGGAGTTTCCTAAGTATCTCTGGAACCCAAGATCCAATACCAATGAAATTAATATGGGACCACATGGGAAGCACCAGCTTTCAAATAAAAAAAAGAATCGTCAAAATCGGTTCACTCAGTCAAAAGTTCTGAGGTACAGAGACATAAAAAAATATTCAACAATACATAGTTGAATTGAGAACCTCCTTCTTTTTTTAAATCGGTTGATAATATTTAGGAAATATCTTATCAAAACCTAAGGGAGTGTTTTACGAAAAGAGACATTATAACACTGCTTCCATGAATAAAATTATAGATACAAACTTATGACTCTGAACTTACTGTAGTAAAATTAACATCCAATATAATGGTAAAAATTCCGAACAGTACGTCTCGTTTTTCAAGCTAGAAAAAAATTTTAATCGATAGAGAAACGTTAATAATTAAATATTACATACATGAAAACCAAGGCAAACACTTACTTTTAATAATAAAAATATTTAAAACTTGTTATTTTCACTAAATAAATCCGCCATTTTGTGTTTGACAAAATGTATAAATTAATGAATTCACACACTTTTCCAGATTATAACCTTCGCATTATTAAAAAAGAGTCTTTAAAAATACTAAAAGTACTGTTACACTAAAGTTTTCTGGGTGGTCATAAAAAAAGAACCTAACAACGAAGGCTAAGGTTTAACCTTCTAACCTAACCTATCCGAGTCGGATCGCTCTGTGTCGGATCTGTGACTCATTTTGAACCTAATATTCGAGACATTAAGTGTACACTAAGTCACAAATTTTAAATTTTAGAAATTGTTAATAATACATGTTCATGAAGAAGAAAAACTTGTGTTTTTGTGATATATCTGTGTATTTGTGTCTTCTTACAACGTAAAAAGTGAAAACGTAAGTTTTTAACTTAAAATAATAGTCTATAATGAATAATGGACGCATAGTAATGACGGATTTCAGTTGTATGAAATTTAAAGTTTGTTAATTTTTTCCTCATAATCTAGTGGTTTTCATTGATTATAACTTATATAACATTTAGTTATTAACATTTCTCTATAGATTAAAATTTTTTTTGAAAAACGAGACGTACTATTCGGAATATTAGCCAATATAATTAATAATATTCTTAGTGTGGTTATGAATCGAGGAATATTTATTAAATTTTAGTGTGCAATGTTATTCTGGGGGTATATCTTTAATCATTAATAACTTAATTGAAACGACTGAAAAAAGGTGCGAAAAAATTTTGTATTCAATATTAAATTGCACATGATAGTTTACGGATCCAAAGTTAAACAACAATCCATGAACATTCGTAGAAATACCTTCTGGTTCAATTTACATTGACAACCGAATAAACCTTGAAACTCAATATATTGCCGCGCTCTAATCAACAAAAATACAGGTTTTGTTTATCTTACCTTCTGCGCTCTGATTTAATGACGACGGGACTCCAGCTGAGGATAGATTCTTCTTCAGACCGCCTTTCGGCAGGTCTGAATCGGAATCATCGAAAACTAGTGTCCGGACCGACTGTGAACACCGACGATCCATCGCCCTCTCACGACATAACACACAAATAAAGCGACGATATCGCCATTAATACACACATTACAACAATATTTTCTTGCTTCAGAACAATAACAAAACTCAGTTGAATTTGCGTAAGTATAGTAAGCGAAAAAAATCGCTTAAATATATGTGAACACAGGAATTTTTAAGTTTTAAGCCATCATTTTAAAACACGACACACGACTTCACACGATCGAAAAATGACATTTTTACATTACATTTTGAAAGATGGCCTAACCTTCAGTGTTGCTATTCAGAACGTCTGTTTTTTTCCCGAAATGTTAACAATCGGAAAGTCGTCCCAATAATGTTAATGTTATTAACTTTTTTTCATGAACTTATGAAAATTTAAGACTTTACAGATCACAAAATAAATCTTATAACCTTTTTAAGTTTTTTTTTTTTTTCAATGTAAATAATCTAACGGGTACACAATTCAAAAATTTCATATTTTGTCTTCGAGAAAACAATCCAAGGACTCGGAAGAGAACAACGAAGCTGGTGCACGGCGACTCATAGTGGGCTAAAAATTGACATAGGGATGTCACTTTAAAGTGTCATTTTGTTGGATACAACTTTTATTAACCAGTACTATACTCCAATATGTAAAAAAGTAAACTTGGTATAGCAATGGGTGTCTTATAATTTTTTTTTTGCGAAAAATTAGTATGAAACTTTAAACCATTCACACATTCGAACAGAGATCTTGCTTTCTAGAAAGAAAACAAAAGAAAAGAAGGTCTGAAAATTATGATCTTTGAACTTATGGATAAAAATCTAAAAGGAGCTACAAAAATTGAGAAAATGTTTCAGTTACAATTTTTATATTTATACCAGAAAAAGGCTACGGTTAATTTGTACTTAGTATTTCGGGAATAATTTATTATAATGCATCAAGTCAAATCATTATAATAAATTATTCCCGAAATAAAAAATATATTACATTTCTTTAGTGTTTGCAAAAATTCTCCAGTAGTAACGTTTATATATGGTAAATAAAAAAAAATCATTAATAATTAGTGCTAAAAAATTCTGTAACGGTATTACTTGCAGTTCCAAAGATAATCGAATTTTTCAGATGAACTTTATACAAATTTTTCGCAAATAAAAAATAATGTTGTCCATTTATAAGCTAAATTAACTTTGTTAACATAATATTTGAGCATAGTAATGGTAACCAAAAGCCGTGTCCAACAAAATAACGATATTGCACAACAGGTATCCGGATAATGGATATGTTTTTTTTTTAAATATTTTATGTGTGTATTTGTTTAAGTATTTTTTTTTTCTTATGTGAAAAGTTGCCAAACGAGCAGACGGTTCACATCTATTCGTGCCCATTCGTGCAACAGCCGAAGCTTCTGCGTGGCCCTACCACCGTGAGCCGTGAGGCGTACTTAAATATTATATAGTAATATATTATAAATAAATTTAAAGTAGTAATTGCACCTATCACCATTTTTCACCACGCCCCGGGTTGACTAGGAGAGAATGCCAAAAACATTAAGTTCGCCGTTTGTAGTCCTTTTTGTTTAAAGTATACAAGCAAATAAAAAAATAAATATCCCGGGGGTAACCGGGACTTTATCTAGAGGCGGCAATGTGCAACGCTACGGGTGTTGCAATGTTCGTGACTAAGCGTTATGAAAATTAATAATTACAAAAACAAATAATTATTGTTTAATAAACCGTTTACGTAAATTCAAGATTTATAATAAAATAATCAGTTTACGAAACTAAAAAGTCTCGTATTTTACGATATTTCAAAAGTTATATTAATATTAAAACGTAATTTAACATTATATCGGACTACAGACTCACTATTAAATGAAAATACCAACACAACACGACGTAAGGATAAAATTAAACAATATTTCATCGAACCGTAACATGTACACATCTAATATTTGACATTCTATTTACCAGTTATTTTATTTAAACTTTAGGAAAAATAACTGATTATGAAGTTATTAAGTTCATCTGGGCGTTTAATCTTAGCTCATTTTTATCCCAAAAGTTTAGTAAAATATTGCGTTTGTATCTAAAACGTAAAGTTGAGAGATGGGTTTCCAGTAGCAAATATATTTTATACTGGTAAGATTTCAAATTTATTTCAAATGAGAAGAATTAATATTACGTCCTCTTTAGTCTGTTAGTATAATCATGCCATCTAGGAGACAACTTAATTAACTTAGTATTAATGTTGCCATTGCGTTGAGTGTACGTAACATATTTTGTTAATGTTACAAGTTTTTAATAAGTCGACAAGTTTAAAATACATTTAAACTATTTAATATTATTGATAGTTGCTACAAAACAATTAATGCTATCTTTTTTGTAATGTACTGTACTTAGAGAAACTCATTTGCAATAAATAGTTTAACTGTAAGAGCCGCAACTTACGCCCTCTAGAGAATAAAAGTAGCAAAATAAACGTTTCGCCGTCAAAAGAAACGGAAAAACACGAGTGTGCGTCGCCTTAGTAGATATCAGCTGAATTATTCGGCTAAAATGCCCTGGCACGGGCATACGTAGTCGTCGGTCCGCCATTACGACGCAGCCGAGACACGTTCGTCGTATTTAGTTAAATATTTTCGTTTATAAATGAGTAATAACGCTCATGATCTAAGTAATCGACTTCTGAATGCGTTGGATAACAATTACAATGTAAGTTTGCTGGTTTTGAAGATGATAAGTCCGATAAGCAATTCAGAGATACGGAAACGTCCTGCACAGGCCTGTGTCACCCGATTCGAGTTACCATTATGCCTCTTGGGAGGTTGCTTTGGTTGCACCTATTGCCCAATGAGGATATTATCAAGTATGGAAGCTTAGAGAGATCAGGGGTTACTATGTTTATTGCGATATTGAAAGAAAAGTGTTGTCCCTGTGGATACGTGAGCGATTCGAGTGCGGTGTACGGGGCCACTGACGTTGCCAGTGCTCGTCCCCCTGTCCCTAGTGCCAAATGTTTTGCAATGTGAAAGTATGGAATTGTGCCACGCGTGACCTTTCCCGTAGTTTTTCGTCAGGTTGTGCCTATAAGCAGAAAATAGGGTTGGTTGGCAGTGAAAATGTGTTTTTCTCTCACGGTTTGACCTTATAGAGTAGAGGTATGAGCGCTGACGGTCTGGCGGTCATTATTATCGCAACTTATTCGATCAGCAGCCTATATGAGATAATAACCAACTCTTTACGGTTTTTTACTTTTTGATGGTGCAAACACAGGTCAGTTCAATTTCCTCAACAAATTAGCAGAAGGGAGTCATTTATGAAATCCTCAACTATTACAGTTCTTAAACATTGCATGTGGTGTAAGATATTTTCGAATTGCTTTTTTACCAAAAGGAAGCATAAATTATTGGAATTTGCTCAAATGTGTTTCAAGTTAAGAGGTTACCACATGATATCTATGTAAGCCAATCATAATTTCTGACTGTTGCACATTTTTTATGTTCTAAAGAGGCTATATTATATACCCTTGTTTTAATTTTGTATACTTCATGAAGGTGCATGTGTAATTAGCTTTTTCTGCAAAGAAATTTAGTAGAGGTATGCTTCTTATAAAATTTCTCAGGCCTGTTCCGTGAAGTACTAAATTCCTACACTTGCTACATTACTAAAAAGATTTATCAAATACTAGACATGCCTTCAAATTTTAACAATTAAGTAAAAATTCTTCCCATGTGCATGAAAAGTTCATCCATGTGCTTGATGAGGAACTTTCATTGACTTTATTCTTCAATTTGATAACTATAGAAGCGGTGAAAAGGCCATAAAGATGAAACTCAAACATATATATATATATATATATATATATAATTTGGGTAAATAAAGTACAGAAAACTGTTAGTCAACAGTTTCAGTCAAAATTTGTTAACAACAGACATGTGACTGGAAAAAATTGTAACTTAATGCCTTGCTTTGTTGGGATAATGATGATGAATTTAATCCTTCTATTTTTATTAAAATGGAGGAAGTTATAAATACTGTATTCATTCTAAGATTAAGCTTACAAGATATTTGACCTTTGAGTAATAGTAGATTCCGAGGACGGAAACTTTTGTATAGACATTTATCTGTTTATATATTCATTGTCTTTCACAATACCAATCATTACCATGTTTTGTGTCATCACTGAATACTTCTTAAATTTGCAGATGCACCTTTTAATAATTTTTATTATTTTATGCGAAAAGTTGTCAAACGAGCAGATGGTTCACCTGATGTTAAGTGAATACCGCGGCCCATGGACATCTGCCACACCAGAGGGTTACAGATGCGTTGACAGCCTTTTGAAAATTGGGCTCCGGCTACCTCACTCACCAGACAAAACGCGAAACTATTTGTCATTCTTTAACTTTACGCTGGTCGTCTGTGAGGTCGTGGTACTTACCCGGACGGGCCTGCCCATTCGTGCAACAGTCGAGGCTGCTGCGTGGCCCTGCCACCGTTGTGGTAGGGCCACGCAGCAGCCTCGGTAAGTGGTAAATTGAACTCCTTTTACCTCATGCACCAAAAGAAACTCAGAACTATGAGACCTCCACTTTACGTCGGTCTTCTGTGAGGTCTTGGTCCCGTCGGACCTGCCCAATCTTAAAACAGCCAATGCTGCTGCATAGCCCTATCATTTACAAAATCTTTCCTTTCTACAAAAAAATAAACATCCATAGTTAGATGTGATAGATGACGGATTGCATGAACCCCAATACTTGGATTTTCTAAGCGCAATAATTGTTACACGAAATGTTACACGGTGAATTGAACTGTTTTATACCAATGCAAATAAAATGCACATTATTGTTTCATATACTTCATTATAATTTCTGTTTGATTGCTGAATATAGGCTTGCTATCAACTTTCCTTTCAGATCCGTTTTTGTTGTGTACTATTAACATTGTCAAACATTTAGTCTAACTCATTTATTTTACTTTGTAATATTTAATGTTTCAATTGTTTATTTCCTCGAAGTCTAATTCTGACTGAATTGAACAACAATAACTTGTGTAGCAACATTGTTATCAGACAAGATTAATTGGTGATATCACTTTACCATTTTGCATTTAATATTTTGGAAATACTTTTGTCCTATAGCCCTCAACATTTTGTTGTATGATTTTTTTTGTTAATTATGGTTTTTATCTTTTTTTATTATGGTTTTTCTTTTCATGAACTTAAAAACTCACATTGATTAGGTTCATTACAAAAAAGAAACGATAATTCGATGATATGTGATATAATCAAAGAAAAAGAAGGATTGTGGAAAATGCAATTTGTAATCACTGGATGATGGATTTTTTATTTTTTGCATGTGTGCATGTTGAAAGTAGCAGCCTTTCTTTATTTCTTCTGTGCAGAAACTCATTTTGTTAAAGTCTAGAAGTTTCTATTCATAACAGCCCTAATAAAAAAAAATCCAAATTTGAATATATCTTTATACCTAATTATAGTGCTCATCAGTATCATGTTAATAAACAATCATAGTTTTTGTGTTTTAAGCAACACAACTTCAACAGGTTTATTTTTTCTATGTACTTTATAAAGCCACAAGAACGTAGATCCACTATTTTGTGATGAATTCAATTCCTCGTTCTGTAGTTACATCAGGGGTTGTAGTGTTTAATGAAAACATTTTATGTCCGCTAAAAATAGTCTGCAAAAATTTTGGTTTACTTACTATATTATCAAAAAATACTACTAATTATAACAGTAAACAGTACAGTATAACAGTAAGTTGAGCCTTTCCAATAAAACAAAAGTTTGTTTAAAATAAATTAACTAAATTAAAAAAGTATTCATATACTTTATAATATTAGGCTAAATCTAATGGTATTTAGAACAAGTAAAGAAACAAAATTGAGTATGAGCTACAACAGTTTACAATTTTTTAGAATTCAAAAATAGATGTGATAAAATAAAAATAGAGAGTTTACAATGGTAGGAAATAGAACTTTGATTTTTTTTTTCTGTGCCCACTAAGTCCATTGATAGCTCGCGCCGCTCGTAAAACTGTTCGATAAAACTGAATTCGGGATTGTTGGCTATAATTGAATTTGCATTTTTAAAACTCACCACATATTGCAATGCATACTACTAAAGGACTGCATAATGTCAACATTTAACAAATGTAACTGTTATTAAAGATCATCCAAAGTATATCCAAAAACTTAACTTTCCATCTTTTTCTTTAATGTAAGCTGACGCCTTGACATTGACAAAACTATCTTGACTGCATCTTAAAATAAATGTATTGATTATCCTAAGTAGCTTCTGAAGGGAATACATAAATAATACATGATGTGTTTGTTTCTCTCGAATTACAATTTTATTTATTCAAATTTCAGGTTGTCGACATGCATGCTGTCAACGAAATCATATCCATTTTGGAAAAAGTCAATATTACAAAAGAGCTGCTGGAGGTAAGATCGTGGGCCGAAGATTGTCAAAAAATGGCTGGCAAATCATCTTATGTGCTAATTGTCTTGTTAACTGAAATTAGTCCTTCTTTAATGAGCTGAGAAATATGATGTAATCTTATCAAATCCTAATTTAAAATTTATGTACTGATTTATCTACAAAATATTTAGATACTTTTATAAAATATTGTGTTGTACAAGATGCAACTTACACAGATGAAAAAATTGTTAAGGAAATCCTTAATAAATTGTTCAGCTACTTGTAAAAAAAGTAATCTTTTCAAGACTACTGTAAAACATCAAGTAGTCCTTAAAACATAAAGTATAAATTTAATTTTCTACTTATCCAAAGAAGTACACAAAATTATTTGGATGCGCTTAGTATAATGAAGTATGTCATCGGATAAAAATTTCATACACCTTATATTGTCTGATTTGTTTTCTTCGCAGACCACCCGATTGGGCAAGCATGTGAACGAGTTGCGGAGGAAGACCACTGACCCTACGCTCGCCAGACGCGCCAAGGTGCTGGTGAAGAGATGGCGCGACCTCGTTATACCGACCGTCGCGTCGCCCGCGCACACCGGTAACAGCATCATCTGTCTCCAGTGGCGGATTTGTAGTCTTGGCCGCCCTAGGCCCCAGCCCAAGTAGTAGGTTCCAGCTCTCCCTTTCTAGGCGCCCATCATAGGTCTTGTTATCATCAGTGAATTTTTTGTCACGATTGGCCGCCCCTAATGTGTGGCCGTCCTAGGCTCCGGCCTATTGGGCCTTAGGGCAAATCCGCCACTGTCTGTCTCTATATCAAAATTACGGCAACGGCATATTGGTTATTATGTAATGAAATAATTATAGATGATTCTTTTTACATCTCAGCATTTTAATGTACTAAACATATACACTGGTATTTTCGCGTATATATTCGACAGCAAATCTGTTTGTTACTTTGGTTAAGTTGGAAAATAATTTTTTTTTCCTTTGGCGCTCAGTAACTTTGATCTTGACATAAACTGAAATGAATTACGCAATGAATACTTATATAAATGTTCACCCTGGCCATATTAAAAAAAGACTACCATGAAATATCCTATTTTATTTATTTACTTCTGATTATCAAGGATTTTGTTATAAACATTCCGAATGTCAATATCACATGGCATTAACATTTACTTGTATTTTAATATGTTTTTTAAATAGACACAATAATAATATCAGTACATCATTTTATATTCTCGTCATTATTACACAATGTTGACAATATACAACAAAATTTGATGTTCAAGACATTGTGGGAGACTGACTGAATGAGATTGATCTTCAATCTAGAAAATACTGGCAGAAAGACCGGTTAAATTTTAGTCGATCAGATCTTTTTCCCTAGACCTTAAAATGAGCTGTATTGTTGTTATATATTGTCAGCGTTTTTCTTTTCACCTAATGAAAAAGAGAAACGTTCGTATGTGTTCGTAAACGTAAACAGTGTATACACTTGTTATCGTTTCTAAGTACAATGTGCGGTATACAGGTTCGAACCGGTCATCCGCGGAGCGCCAGGTGCGCCGGTTCGGCGGCACTCCGCTCACTTCGCCGGCGCTGTCTCGGGTACTAATCTTAATAATTTATACTAGTTACTCATGGTTATAAATACTCCGTGGCGCAGATGCCAAGATATTGGTGCCACGGTAGGTTCAATTCTCACACAGGACAACTTGTGTGACAATTAAGTACACTGTGGAATCTGCAAATGCCTCTTTTATTTGATGATGTTTTGAATTTCGTTTGTGCAATATATTTCTAAACATAAGGCTCCATTACAACACATGATAATGTTAACTTACAGTAATGTTTTTGAAGGGATGACTACAATAGGTCTTTCCAGGTTGCAGTGGTCATTGTGAACTTATCACCCCAACCCCTTTCATGCAAAAGTACCAATACTCATGATTACATTTTATTGCATAGATCTTTTCACTTTAAACCTCTTTCCGTTTTGATATTTATTTATTTCTAGATGTGAAATTTAGTAACACTTTTTTGTTTCTATGAATCCCTGTTAATTAAATTTTATTATTATTATTTATTTACTTTCTTACTTACTTATTATTGTAATTCTTTATAACTACACTCAAATTATGATAATTAAAACATTATGGTTTTTACTCATTTGCTTACTCACCATACCTTAGATACCGAGAAGCCTATTGAAAGCTGCCAATGTGTCAGAAATTCTTATGGTTTTCCATTTACTACCATACCTTGATGGTTTGCCACATTGTTGTATATTTCACTTGGTTCGCAGCACGTGGTGAGCCCGGCGGTGCCCAGTCCCAGGCCGCCTTCAAGGCCCGGTGAGTGAAGGGCAGAAAGAAACAGGGTGGACAGCAGACAGTGAGGGCACTGATTGGGAATCGGAATCGAATGGGAATTGGATTGATTTCCCATGTTTTGTACCCTCCGATACCAGCGTTAATGTTGATGTGGACTTGCAAACATGCTTTGTGGTTTAAGACCATCAATGACTAAACCCAAGTGCCTGAGATATGACATCAATTTGTTGATTTTATCGAGTACAGTAATTTTGTTCTGACTTTATATCAAGTAAAGTGTAGCTGCAACTAACAAAATCCGTGCAAAATAACTATTTTGAACGGACCTATAAGCGAGGAACCCTTTTATAGCGCTTTCGGTGTTTTTGGATAACTTTGCATACGCATTCATTGTCGATAGAAGGCGCACGAGATGAACGTTCATTCGCCAAATACCGAGGGTGGACGCAGTAAACGCTTTTCGCCATTTAATTTCTAAAAGTATAACGCGCGACTCCACGCCGGTATGTGTTGTATTGCATTGATTTAAAAAGAACTTGGAGTGATTATGAAAAATGTTACTGCTTCCATGACCATGAATATGTTATATAGTTTCGATAAAATTATTTATTATGTCTGCGTAAAATAAAAAAATAACAGAAGTGGTAAAGTCTTATTATAATACTGTTAACTTGAGTAACCATTTAGTTAGTGTGAGCTGTTTTTTTATTCAGCTAAATGCTTGGGATTTCTCCATACAGCCTATTCATCAACGTTACTTTAAAAATTTCCTCGATAATGTCATGCTTAGCAAAATACAAATATGATCTTGAATATAACCGCAGATCTGTGTTAACTTTTGGTTTGCCGTTCGACAGCGTGGGGTGGCTACGAGTCGGACTCTCAGGACGTGATCCTGGTGGACGACGAGCCCCCCTCCGCGCCGACCCCCCTCGCGCCCCTCCACCAGCCGCAAAAGCCGCACACGCCGCGTGAGTTTCACAACACACTCAGACCTACAAACTTAAAACTCTTGCTTATATGATTTCTCGATTGATCGTTTATTGAAATAAGTTTTTTTTTTTTTTTCAAAAAAAATGCCATTCTATTCCCTAAAAAACAGAACGTGTTGACAATGTGGTAGTCATTCATAAATAACAAAATTTTATTGTGCACAAACTTGTGTGAGTGTTAGTTATGAATGATCTCGCGTAAACACGCACTTTTTGAGAAGTTCAAATGAATGTAATTAATTACTTAACAGTGATTTTAAATATTTATTATTTTTTATACAGCGTGTCGTTACCATCGCGACAATAAATAAACACATATATAGGGGATAACTTTTTAAAGTTGTATTAAACATTTGAATTCTTTAAACATCAATATTTACAGAGTTATTAAATTTTCCAAAACAAAGAATTTTAGAACACCCTTACCTATAAAAGCGTAACGTAAAGTTCATTTGTAAAGGTCACAAAGCACATGAATGGGTTGAATGAATTTAAAAGAGTCAAAACACTATTAGAAGGAGAGGCTTGTAATGCGACACTGTGGCGCGAGTTGTATAGGATGTTACAAATTTTGTTTCTTTTTTACTTAATTAGTTTGTTTGAAAAAAAATTTTTTTTAATTATGGATTTTGTTTAATGTTAATATTTTTTATGATTATTGGCAAGTAGCGTTAGACGTGTGTTCATTTATTGTCGCGATGGTAACGACACGCTGTATAATATTGTTTGTCTAGAATTTAATAAAAAAAATGGATACACTTAGAAAAGCCACCCTGTATACAGACATATACTAATATTCTATTAAATGTACTATAAACTATTATCGAATTATTAAGGTCACAGAAAAATAAAAATTACTTACTTTATTAGCAAGTAATGATAATCAATTTGCACTGACTAAAAACGTTTTATTTCAGCTACCAAAAGGCAACCTTCCCCTGAGCCGGTGCACGACGACAAGAAGGCGAGGAGAGATAAGAAACCCAAAAAAAGAAGGTCTCTATAAAATGAAATCTTTATACCATATTTTATAGTCTGTATGTTTTTTTGACATTGTATAAATTTATATGAATTGCACCATTGAGATGATAATTTTGATATAATGGCTAACTTTACTTAATACAACAGTAGTTTGGAGTGTGAACAAAACTTGGTAGTGTCGGCTCTAACTATTGGCTTTTAGTATAGTAAGTTAAAGCACTAAACTAGTGGTAACTTACGAACATATTAATTTGTATGTACAATTTTGACATTTGATAAGAACGCGCAAGCATCTATGTGAATAAATATATTTTGTGTGCATAATTACATTGCAGAAATTGTGTATCTCTACTTTCCATCTAGTTATATATTTGTGATATTAAATAAATGAAAGCACTCAAAGCTCTTAAACAGAAGACTGAAAAGCTGGATGGTTCAAGCAATATTTATTTATTCACTGTTGAATCCATCAAATATACATTTTTCTGTGAATATCTATATAAATAATATATCTTAGTGACTTGGCCCTTATCTAAATGAATTGTGATATCTTTTAAAAAGTAAAGTAAGAGTCTATAAATATTACACTGCTAGGCAAAGGCCTCCTTCCTACAGAGGCTATCAGGGCATAGTCCACCACACTACCGCTGCGGATAGACTGAAATTTTGCGTTTTTATGAAACGTCGAAATTTTACATAAAAATTGAAATATAAGTTCGTAAGTAAGCCACCGGTAGTATGGAAAGCGGTCTCTGATGAGAAGAAACCTTTTGTTTAAAAAGATCAGTGTACAATTTGACATGGTATATCCTAATCCGCAGGGGCTACAGCCGCGCGGGGTCCGGCACTGAGGCGCCGGGGGCGGAGGGCCCGCCCCCCCTGCCGCCCGCGCCCCCTCCACCGGCCGCCGCGCACCCCGCCCACCCGCCGCCCCCCGCCGCGTGGAGCGCGCGCAACGGCTCGGCCCACTCGCACTCTCACTCTCATTCTCACTCTCACTCGCACGAGCGCCGCCGCAACGGCTGCCGCAGGGACGCCCTCGACTCCTACTCGGCCCTCGTGAATCGGATGCCGCCTGCCGGCGCCAAGAAGGTCTCTCACTTATTTTACAGATATTCTATTATATTATATTCACCATTTTTCTAAGGGATATGGCCAGATGTGTGATTACTGTGTCCAATCGAAACAAATCAACCCACACACCCGTAGTGTTTTTCTGTTACATGCTCAACTGTTAAGAGATTAGGTTGGTACAATAATTTAACACTCTGTTCACCATTATTTCAAGAGAAAATATGGTCAGTCAGCAGGTGGTTCACCTGATGTGCTCACTATAGCCCATGATTATGCTTATGATTTGTGTGGTAGTATGGGTTGGGCACTAAGTCCCTATGAGCCCAGTGACATAGAAGATCTATTCTGGTCTTCTTTGCAAAGCTAGATAGCGTATTTCAACCAAAAAGTTCCCGACTCCTAATATTCACCAGGGTATCGTATTCACAAATTATGTGGCAGTAACTACTCGTCATCACTATAGAAAGGGCTCTCCAATAGTCCCATTCTGATTCAATGCTTCTTTAACCTACAGATATACCTTTCATTGAAGGTTCAGTTTAAGTACCGTCGCCCAAGAACAGAACTTCCGTAGGTTTCCCCTTACATGCTCAACGTTTTAGAGGTTAGGTTAGCCACAATAACCTGAAGGAATGCAAAAGTATAACTGCTTCTACTTTACACTGGCCATTTGTGAGGCTTTTTATGCTTCCCCAGACTAAGCAACCTATTTATTCAATAGAAGTTGCTGCACCAATACTTATTTAGTTGCGATACTAATTTCTTTATTTTGATTCTCTGCATCCTGTTGCAATTCACCATAACATGAACACATGACATAAACTGTCTATAGAAGAAGCTCCGTAGCAAGCAGTTCACTTAGAGGCAAGAGATCACTACTTGAAAATATCAATAACTTGGGTGTTATTGCAGTTTGCATATTATGAATGGCATATGATGAAGTGTATGTACGTTAAAGCTACTTAAACCATTGCAGTCTGAAATTATTTGTGCTTTTTTTTTGATAAAATCTTGTGTCAATAATAGTGTGATTTACCTTTCAATAAATTAGTTGGCTACATTATACTTATATCAGACACTGGAGAAATCCTTTGTACATGTTGCATTCTTAACTCTGCATTCTGCTCATATAATGAAAATTATTCTTTTGGTCCCCTCACTCGCCACACAAAGCGCAGAATTATAACACTTCCATTTCACGTCGGTCTTCTGTGAGCTCGTGGTATTTTGCCCTACCACAGTGGAAATAAATCATCTCACCGCTGTGCGTTTTGCAGGTGAAGACCACGAAGGAACTGTTGGAGCAGATCCAGTCGCGGGGCAGCAAAGCTGCCTCGCGTCCCGCCTCCCCCGGCTCGCCCGCCTCGCCCGCCTCCCCTGACGTCATGCTCATAGAGCCCGATTGTGAGTGTTTCTAAGTGGATCGCAATCGCAAATCGATGAATCGCAAAATCTAGAATACTCCTACACAGTTTTCTATTAGGCAGTAGTAATTTCCCGATGAGTCGGAGCAGTCACTTAACAGCAAGCTATATGGCCCCAACACAAATTTATAAATTTTGGTCTTTTGGTACAGCTTAGGCTGAATAAAGGTATTATTAAGCACTTTTTACACAAAATTAAAACAAAGGTGCCCAAATTATTCTATTACTCTCTCATAACTAGGACCCAACCTTATATCTCTACAACACACATTTTTTTATTCAACATTTCTGACTTTAGTATTTCAGATGAAATTAGAATACTTTATAAAATGCTGAACAAAACAACATTCCAGCTTATGTGAAGGCGGGGTCGCCGCTGCGCAACGGCGGCGCCGAGTGCGCGGTGCGGGCGGGCGCGGGCGCCGTAGCGGAAGCGGAAGCGGAGGCGGAGGAAGAGTCCGTGGCGGCGCCGCGCTCGCCCTTGGACGAGCAGCTGGCGCGCGAGCGGGAGGAGTGCACCTGCGCGGACGAGCCGAGCGAGTCGTGCCCCGCGGCGGGCCTGCGGCGGCCGGCGCCCGCCCACCTGCGCGCCCTGCACCACGCGCTGCTGCCCGGCGTCAACGGCACCCGCGCGCCCCTCCACCCGCACCAGTTCGCCGTGCGCAAGCCCGAGCACCCCGAGCGGCCCGGCCTGTTCGCCAGCGTGGTGCCCCTCTACAAGTACTCGGACTACGCGGACGACTACTGCGTCAAGAACATGGCGCGCGTGCCCCTCTGCGCGCACATCCCGTGGACCGAGTTCGCACCGCCGCCACCCTCGCCGCCGCCGCCGCCCGCGCCGCCCTCGCCGCGCCCCTACCCCGTCGACGAGGAGCCCGACGCACCCGCGCGGGCGCCCGTAAAGGAGGAGCCCGAGGAAGCGGATTCGCAAATGGTCGAGTACGACTGCCCGAAGCTCGAGCCGGAGATGGTGGGCGTGCCGAGCCTCGAGCAGAGCGAGCGGCTCAAGGCGCCGCTGCTGTCGGCGGACGAGGAGAGGCAGTTCGGCGGCGCGGAGCCCGTCGCCAAGGTGGAGGTGCAGGAGGAGTTCGCGAGCGAGCCGCAGGAGCACCGGACAGTGGAGCGGACGAAAGGCGGCGGCACGGACGGGCGGGCGCTGTTCGCGGTGTGCGAGAGCGCACTGCGCGCGGTGCCGTACCGCTACGAGCAGACGGGCAGCGCGCCGCTGCTGTCCCTTTCCGCGCCCGACCTGGAGGGCGCGCTGGCGGCGGGGGCGGAGGCGGCGGTGGGGGAGGGGGAGGGCAGGGACGCGCTGGGCCGGCCGCCGCGGCCTGCGCGCTTCGCCGAGTGGCACGAGTGCGCGCGCCTCGGCGACCTGATCGCGCTGCCGTACGTGGTGATCGACTGACTGAACCCTCGCCCCTCAGATAGTACGCCGAGTGCCAAACCGTACAGCGCCCCGCCCCGGCCGCCCGACCAAAGCCTCCGTTGTCTCGCTGTGTTCCAAGTGTCCTTATGTTAGTTTTAAGGGTAACCGTTGTATATAGGGAGTGTTGGTTGTTAGTCCGTGTGAGCGCTCGAATATGTACATACAGTTTAAGTTAGCGAATGTAGATAGGAATGAAATCGGCGCGGACGTTGCGCCGCGGGCGCCCGCCGACACGTGTTTTTAGTCATGTATTTATTTTTTAATCGTTTATAAGCGGAGGCGGCGTTCTCTCACGCGAGTTGTGATATTGACGCGTTGCCCAGCGGCCGAGACTGGTTTTTACACATTCTGTCGGAACTCCGCACCGAGACTTGTTGTTATGGGGACTGACAGAGGACGGAGTAAAAGAAAAATAATAATCTCTAGACTGTTGCATATTGAGTTATCTTGTTACCGATTGTGATTTATGAAGAGAAATTAGGTAATTAATAATAATAGGAGTTCCAATTGTATATTATACATATATATTGCTATATCAATGAGTCAGATATCAGATGAGAAGTGATTTATAGTATCCTTGCAAATGTGTAATTGTTCTAAATGACCACTGTACTGTACAATTGATTGTTCAAAAAAATTTATATATATGTACCTTAAGTGCTCTGATCAAAGAAAAAGGGTAAATGGAATGTTTTGTCCGATGCGAGACGGTACTGAAAATGCAAATTATTTCATTGCTTCAGATTTTTCGTTTATTTTGTGCGCGTTATATAATGATAGTGGTGCTGGCCCAAATCCATACCATTCGAACCACTGTGATGTGTCAAATAATTAGTAAACTACATTTAGAGACTTGCAAATGAGAAATATATTTTCCTAAAGTAATACAATAACGCTTTCTTGTTGCTTTCGACATTGCGTCACTGTGATAATTCTGAATTAAGACGAAAGACTTTGAGATGATACATTTATATTTGGATAATGGAAGATTACATGCATTTAGTTGAGCGACTTTGCCAGCGTCGAAACGTTACAGCGGACCTTATATACGAATGACACGGGGTATTTATGAATTGGTAGTTTTCTTTTTATATTTAGTTTTTTGGGCAAAGTTTCATCTACCTTTTGCCTGTGCTCCGAGCTTAAGAGAACTTTCTTATGTACACCTACGCGCGTCGCGAACGAATGCGGTCGCGCCCGCGTCTTTCCTACGGACTGTTTGTTTTTGTTACGAGTACAATGATGTTTAGTTACGCAGATGTTAGATGCAGCCCCGCCCGCCCCGCGCCAAGTTTAAATGGATTCATCAAAATTGCCAGGTGTAGTTATATTACTTTTTTCTACCCACACGCCAGATAAATATGTTAATCTTTGTTTACAATGAATATGGTGTGTACCAATTCTATGTGCAATGTCAGCAATGTTTGGCCGGTACAATACCAGTTGCAATTTTTCGTTATCGGTGAGGGATCATGATTATTATGAATGTTTATTTTGGTCTTACAAGACTTATGATTGGCTAAACCAAAAATTATAATATGAAACCGTTTTATTTTTCTATTGTGCAAATTTGTGGTTTGTGCAGTAATGTTCTCGTAACTAATGTACATATGTTGAAGGACCATTCAATAAATACCAATATAACTGTTAACTATGTAGTGTAAGCAATTATCTGTATGTGACCGTTGGTCTCTTAGGGACAGTGCTGGCTATTGAATATTAAGTTACAGATGTAGATTCTGTTTTTTAAAAAGAACAAGATTTATGTAAAACATTTTCTTCTGGCTTTATAGAATCTCTGAGTCAATACTCAACACATCACTTGCACCTACCATTTCTATGCTAGTAAGGATAAATATGAAGGATAACATATTTTTTATTAAATAAAAACTGTTTTGATTTTATAAGTAGAACACTTAAGTAGGGTTCTTGCGTTTTAGACAATTTGAAGTTCTTTAATTTTGTATATTAACATGAAGTTTTTATTTTCCTTTACAAAAAATGTTGAAAAGACAGCTGGTCGCTTTATTATTATTTAAAAAAATATAATTGTTAGTAGTTGTAGCAATTGAAGTATAATGTTCCATTATTGTCCACTTTCTATATAAAGTAAGTAATATATCGTAATGAAACAGGTTGTTAAAATGATAACAAATAAAAAATGTGCAATGTCATCCATCATATGTGTGATGAAACGAAATATGTGAAAATGGCAAAATATGTAAAGATTGTAGTCTCATTGATGCATAACCGTATATAGTCTGAAACCATCATACAACACCTAGTTTCTTCATCTGTTAGCATATATCGGCAAACATAATTTAATTATCTCCTTAGCATATATGTGAAGGTCTACTCTTCATATTCGACAAGGCCAAATGTTGACTGAAATGTTAAACAAATGTGGAATTCCTTCTATGTAAAAGTTCTAAATTTGTTCTGTATTGCTTATATTTCGACAGTATTAATATTTATTCTACTATATTATATATTTCACTTGTTTAAATTGTTTACTTCTTACCCTTAGTTCCTTTGTTAATATTATTAAAAATATTGAAATAATGAGATCTTAAGGGTAATTTTTCTTAAAAACCATATTCTGTGTACTAACCCTATATTAGGTATATTTAGGAACTTTTTTGAACATGACTTCCAGGAAAGAGATACATTATTTCGTTATTTGACTACTATTATCAATCTTTTTAAAAATTCACAGTTGCAGTATGTCTTTGCATATGTGTATTCAATTCTTGGCTACATTTATCTTAAGTTTTGTAGAATGTAGAGTACATTACTACGCCATAGTTAAAAAAAGCTCAAAATGGATTACTAAAATTATCTTCCCATACTGAATATGCCCATCGCGTTATATGTCCTCAACTTCTTTTTATTATTTATTTGTAGGTATTTTATTTTTTTTACTTTAACCATGTACGGACCAATCATGCACCAATTACTACCAAAAATTAGCTAATTTACAAATGCTGAATGTTGCCATTATAGTAGTAGGTACAAATGGCCATCTTTAAGTTTTGGTTTGTGTTTGTTGTATGAATTATCAATTATGTTAACCTGCTTCCGTTTAGTTCTGATATAAGTATTGCGCAAACTTTGAAAGTTATTGTTTTTAAATTGTTAGGTATGCGCAGGCGCATGAACATTGAAATGTGAAACTAACGAATTGTACGGTTTATAATTATTTATCTTGTTTCTTTAAGTTTTTGTCCTTGCTTATACAGTTGATAACTAAATTTTCCAAAGTGGTTGATTAAGAAAATGCCTTTGGTAAGCTCTCTGATGTTTTGCTCTGATGATTGTTCTAAAATGGATCCATTAAACTTGGCGTTACACCGAAAGGCCTTAGCGTTGAGCGCAGTAGAATCCGGGCGCGGAACTTGTATTGCGACGGTGATGTAATCCTCAGACTGCCTTCTTGGACCTGATCCAAATTTTGGTAAAATATAAAAGCAAAATATATGTGTTTTTATTACGACTACCTGTTTTATTTTTTTACGTGCACACAATTCAAAGTTTTACAATATTACATTTTCTATTTTTATTTCGGTCATATGAAGATGAGAATCACCGGACGAAATGATAAAGTGTAATACTTTCATTTGCCATGGTACTTCCCCGGCTGAAACTGCCCATTAAACTTAGTGAGGCTTTATAAATATTGCATAAATTAGTTTTTAGATATGTGGTTTGATAGTGTCTCCAGCGTGACCTAACTACTAATGTTCTTAAAATCATCCAGTCGAAAGTTCTGAGGTAACAAAAAGAACAAAAAATGGAGTCGAATTGAAAACCTACTTTTTTGAAGTCGGTTAATTACGTGTCACTTCCATTGATTGTATTAATTATTCGCCGTATCCCGAAGCACGTCGGTTGGACTTATCACAACCGCACAATGAGAAAGAAGCGTATTTATTAAACTTGCAGGAAAACTGCGCAAGCTAAATAATTATACGAAGCATAATATCGAATGAAACTAAAGAAGTTTGTTAATAAAATTTATTAATAACGTTATATTTTTTACACTTTGCCACACGAACATGTCGACATGTGTCTTATAAATAGTTGTTATGATAGAGAATTAATGGCACATTTAATTAGTTGAACGCAGCGTTCCGTGGAAAAATTAAAACAATTTTGCCCCTTTACGAATTTTAAATAAGTAATATCAATCGAAAGATAAAAGCTATTATATTAGATTGGGTATTTCTTACCGAAAATATTCACAATTAAGTTAACATTAAAACGAGTTAATCAATTTTCCCGAAATTAAATTCACTTGTCCATTTATTTGTATTCATTAAATTTGATCCATTTTGGCTATATTATGGGTTCAAAAAAGAAAAATTTTGGCACTTTAAATTAAAGTGCTTCTTACGATAAGATAAATAATAAGAAAAAAAAAATCACAAACTGATTTAGTTAAATAAGTTTTGCTTATAGATATTTGTATACTTATGATTGTGTAATACGAACAAGACATGACATTATCATCTATTCAAGACTTCTCTTACTTAAAGTAATCACATATTTTCGCACGAAAATAATATCAAATATGCATAGAATTCTTGCAATATTCTAAATATAATATCAAATGCTTATTTAGACGATTTGTCACACTAAATAAATCTTACAACGATAAGATATTTTTTTAAGTAAAAAATACAATATATCTCTTATAAAATTGCTTAATATTTTTTAATTTTTGCACCTTTCTAAAGAATATCCGCTGCTTTGTTAAAATTTGACCTTTGGGTTGATTATCGGTTGAGCGATGTTTATTGTTTATTGACTTGTCGAGGGCTCGCTGGTTCTTCCTGGCGGATGTAGAGTTTGCAGAGTAGACTACATGATAGGGAAAGTGAAGAAATATATCGATTTATTGATATTTATAAAAATAACAATATCGGCCTCGATATATCGAAGAGAAAATGTCGATATATCGGATATAATTCCTAAAATCCCCTTCGTCAAAAAAAGGGTTCCTAATGTCAAATATGAAATATTCGACACCAACGGACTGTGCCGGAGTCGAATTTTGAAAAAGTATCATTTTTTTAATACGACTTTCGACATCGAACATTTCGCCTCGATATATCGGATCCGAGTGTCGATATAGACGATCTAAAATCGACATTCTCCGACGTCCCCGCTACATGATGACGCAGGGCATGGCGCAGCAGAGCGGCAGGCAGACGGGCACCGCGGTGGTCTTCTCGGAGTGCTTCTGCTTGCTTCTCGCTCCGGACTCGTACTCGTACATGCCGCGGCCCGACGCGTATGCGCCGCCGCCCTGCATCGCCTGCCTCGGAAAGGATTTTTTTTCTCTTTAAAAAGCATTGCCGTCACGTTTAGTAACATTAAACCGTGCTGAGAGGACTTTTTACAAGCGTTTTCACGGACAACAATGAAATACGAAAAAATTATTTGTACATCTGTTGGCGCTGGCAACATTGTATACCGGATATGACGTTATCTACTCGAGCCAAGGGACACATCGTCGCATGGAGCAGTGGTAACTTGGATTTCGGCTGCGTTCTTGGACGGTGATATAGCCACTAGTGCTGCTTGTCGTTATAATAGTTGTTAATATTCAAGTTCAGTAATAGTTAAAATATTAAAATGAAGGTACAAAACGTTAGAACTCTTATAGATCACACATATAGTTGTCCCGAAAGAGATAAAGGATTTTAGAATTGCAATCTAATAACACCAATTGCCGAATGGACAGGTCCGTCAGGGGAATACCACGACCTCAGACTCACAAAGGACCGATGCGAAGTGTAAGTGTTATATTTCTGCGTTTCGTCCGTTTAATGAAGAACTGGGGTCCACTTATAAGATCGCAACGCATCCGCCACTGTGGGGGTGTTGCAAATGTCAACGTTTGGCGGTTACGCCTACATCAAAGGGACCGCCAGCTGGCTCGCCATCTTTGTACATACAAAAACGTAAACATTTACATACATATACTAAGAAATAGTTCATAACTGGCGGCTGGTGGCAGATTGGTAATTATCGTGAGGAAACTCACGCTGGCCTGGTAGCCGGCCGCCTCCTTCTTGGCGAAGGGCGTGTGCCCCGGCGGGTAGTAGACGGCGGGGCCGGCCACGTTCTTGCTGGCGCCCGCGGCCACCAGCTTGCCCGTGGGCGTGGGCGTGGGCCCCGAGCTGGGCGTGGGCCCCGGCCCGGCGTGGGAGTGGGAAGTGTCGCGCGTCTCCCGCGCGTTGGCCTCCACGCGCCGCCGCACGCCGTCCGGCTGCGTGGGGAACCTCTGGAAGTTCGTGTTTTCATTTAAACCACGTCCGTTTATTCTCAAATTATAAAACGCAATAGACATAAATACTTTGTGTGTAGACAGTTTTCGGAAAAAAAATCTTTGTTTTCGTCGTCGTGGTTTGATACGCTTTCCGGATTACGTATCTAGACACTAGGTTCTAGACACTAAGTGATAAAGAAAAAAATATTTTTTGACAATTTCATCCATACATTTTATATTATATCTTAAGTTATACATTAAGAGTTAACGTCGGTAGAGCCACGCAGCAGCCTCGGCTGTTGCACCAATGGGCAGGCCCGTCCGGGTAAGTACCGCGACCTCACAGAAGGCCGGCGTAAATTGGAAGTATAATACGATCGCGTTTCGTTTGGCGAGTGAGGTGGCCGGAGCCCAATTTTTAAAAGGTTGTCAACGCATCTGAAACCCTCTGGTGTAACAGATATCCATGGACGGCGGTATCACTTAACATCAGGTGAACCGTTTGCTTGCCTGGCAACTTTATACCAAAAAAAAAATACAAATTGTCGAAGCGAATAGTGTGAGTGGGGTGCTTATGGTGGAAGATTTCAGAGTCCAATAAGGTTGCAGCCGCATTAATATAGTTGAAGTCCGACTTACCGCCTCCGGGAAGTCCGCCAGCAGATCGTCCAGCCTCTTGGGCGGCTGCTGCTCGGCGGGCGAGGGCGTGTGCGGGCGCGGGAAGGGCGCGGGGGGCGAGGAGGGCGTGTGAGGGCGCGGGAAGGGGCCCGGCGAGGGGGAGGGGTGGCGGCCCCCCGGAGGGGGGGGAGACAGAGAGTTGTGCGCAGAGTAGCTCTCGGAGTACTTGTACGTAGACGAACCCTGGAGCAGAGTTGGTTGCAAATGCAAAAGAAGCAAGTAACAGTATACGGCGTGTCTTTACAATGGCGACAATAAATGGACACACATACAGGGGATAACTTTTTAAAATTGTATTAAACATTTACATTCTTTAAACACCAATATTTACAGAGTTATTAATTTTTCCAAAACAAAGAATTTTAGAACACCCTTACCTATAAAACAGTATCATGGTTGAATGAATTTAAAAGAGACAAAACATACTGTTAGAAGGAGAGGCTTGTAACGCGACGCTGTGGCGCAAGTTGTATAGGGATGTAACAAATTTTGTTTCTTTTTCTCTTAATTAGTTTATTAGAAAAATATATATTTTTTTTAATTATGGATTTTCTTTGACGTTATTATTTTTATGATTATTGGCAAGTAGCGTTAGACGTGTGTTCATTTATTGTCGCAATGGTAACGACACGCTGTATAATTATGTGTCCCACTGCTGGGCAAAGGCCTCCATCGTACAGAGAGTATGAGGGCGTAGTCCACCCACCGCGCGACCCCACTGCGGATTTGCGGACTTCATATATCTCCCATATATATTTTTTTAATGTTTTGAAAATATGCACATTTATTCCGAATGTTTTACACCGCTGAGCACGTCATAATTTAGCGCTTAAAACAATTGCACTGGCACGATCACCACAGCTCCGAAAGTTTCTTTGCAATTATCTACAAACATATCGATAGGGATACGTAGCAGTTGTGTTGCACGAACGGGCAGGCTCATCCGGAAAAGTACCACGGCCTCACAGAAGACCAGCTTGAAGGTGAGGTGTTTCGCTGATTGATTATTTTTATGGTGGTAGGGCCACACAGCAGCCTCGGCTGTTGCACGAATGGGCAGGCCCGTCCGGGTAAGTACCACGACCTCACAGAAGACCGGCGTAAAGTGGAGGTATGACAAATACTTTCGCGTTTCGTCTGGTGATGAGGTAGCCGGAGCCCAATTTTCAAAAGGTTGTCAACGCATCTGTAACCCTCGGGTGTGGCAGATGTCCATGGGCGGCGGTATTCACTTAACATCAGGTGAACCGTCCGCTCGTTTGACAACTTTTCGCATAAAAAAAAATTGAGGTAACCGGACCCACTTAAAGTTTTGCAACACATCCCCAATGCTACCTCACACGTGTATGATTGTATTTATGAGTATGGCATTACGTATGGGGGGTGTCCGTCGCGCGGGGCGGGGGCGCCGGCGGGGGAGGGCGAAACCGACGTCTCTGCGAACGGAAAAGGGTTAATTCATATTAAATATGCAACTGGAATAAAATTGTTTTCATGGAATAACACTATTTGCGGAATTTAAGTCTTCCGAAGTCTTGAATGATTGTTTTTATATAAACATTTCTGGATTTTATAATTATAGGTGAATATTTATGAATGAATTTGTAAATGTTAATGTTTCTGGGTGTGTTGATCCATATATAAATTTTGCCGATCCGATTGGCGCATGGGTTTGGTGTGGGTCCGATCCCTACTTCTGGAAGAATATTATGATGAACATAGTGTTTTTCCAGTGTCTGGGTGTTTATATATCTATAATATGAGTTTATTTACAAAAGAAAAATATGTTTGCTAGTTACCTAGTATCATATCCATAGTTTTTCCTAAGCTTGTACTATATGGAACTAGTCTCAAATCTTTGACAGAAACTAGATAGCATTGTGTAAAAATAAGTTCTAAAATACTTATCATTATTTATTTGCGAATGATTGTACTAACATTCATATTAATGTATATAGTTATTGGTATAACGTGGCTGTTCGGAGGCGCGTTGAAGTTGTACCCACCGTCGGTGAGGTGTGTGCGACTGTACTCGCGCGTGCGGCAGTTGCAGTGCGAGCAGTACTGGCACCCGGGGCCAGGGGCGCCTTCCAGCGGCCGGGACAGCGTCGCCCTGCGAACAGAACATACGCGTGACGTCGCAAGAACTTAAGAAGTACAGTCGAGTGAAATATCGCTCGATAAATGGCGAGTCAACGTCACGGAACGGAATGGCAACGTTATACGCCCTGCGATCAGAACAAACGCGTGACGTCACAAAAACCTAACAAGTACAGTCGAGTGAGAAATCGCTCGATAAATGGAGAGCCGACTTCACGAAACGGTATAGCAATTTTATACGCGAATGTACAGCGACCGGGGGTGTAGGTCCCGTCAACCAATTTTTAGGTATCTAAAAAGAAAAATGCGCACAAAACATAAAAAGTGTACGTACAGTTAAGTGAGAAATCACTCGTTATAAGAAAAGTTAATTTTACGAAGAGTTAACAACAACTTTTAATTTAAGTTAATAACAACGCCGCGAATTCGTTGCGTACAGTCAAGTGGGCAATCACTCGCTAAAAGAAAAGCTAAATTCACGAAACGGAATGGCGAAATTGAATGCGACTGTACATCGAGCCGGGGCCAGGGCCAGATTGGTGTCAGAAAGAACAAACGCGTGAAGTCACACAAAACTTAAGAAGTACAGTCGAGTGAGAAATCGCTCGCTGAATTGAAAACTGAAAGGAATATTCCTGAGATGAAATTGTGACGTTGTGCGACTGCACGCAACCGAAGGCTGGAATCTGGATGCCAATCGGTAGGTATCCAAACAGAAAGAAAAAACGAGGTGCGGTACTCTACAGTATCGCTCTATGTCACGAATAAAATCGGTTTTGTATACATCACTAAAATCAAGTGGTTTTACGATAACGATACATTTTCACTGACAGGCGCACAATTATCACGCCGCCTAAAATTTGTTCACTTGACGACGTCGAACGGTAATTATTTGAAACTGCGATGACGTCAGTTTGTTACTCGAAATACATGTCGACGTTTGTACGTGGCATGCGGATACTGACGTGTGCACGTCGGTGCATGCGTGCGTGCATGCGTGCGTGTGCGTGTCGGCCAGCGGCGGCAGCGGCAGCGTGGTGGGGTCCGCGCCGGCTGGCACCTCGTACGTGTAGGTCTTCACCGTGGTGGTCACTTTGTTCATCGGCAGCTGCAACGAAATGCCATCATCACCGACTAGTTAATACCCGCGACTTCATCTGCGGCGCTTATGATATTAAACATGATCAATTTATAATCGAACATTAGAACAAATATTTATCTATCCGACCTTTACATTTCCATATGGTTAACTTTTAAGAGTCAGCACAGATTATAGTCTGTGTCTGAGTTTTAAAGCTTCCGAGTAATATAGTATATTATGAATTCGGGCTATTATCTATTGTTGCTCGGACTTATAATGCGGCATTCGGGAATCGAACTGGCACTGACCGTCCCGCAGGGAGCAGGCTGGTGGTGGCAGTGAGTGCAAGGCGGCGCAGTGGGCGACGTCACCGCACCCTGCGCCGCTCGTGTTTCTGCAATAAGCACCGATCACAGTCATTTCAAGTTTCAGGAATAAGAAAGAAAGAGAAAAAGTACATTTATTCAGCAAGATGAGTACGCGTACAAAAACAAAAGAAAAAAAATGTAATAATACATACTACAGTAAAACAAATACAAGATCATTAAATAATTCAAATATAAAACTATGATGTGAAATAAAAACAAAAGAAAATAAAATTAAATTTTAAACGAAAGAAAAATATTGCATTATCGGTGAATTAGGTCAGCACTTCAGCATTATGCTGTGCAAGAAGTCGAAACCCCCACAGCGCTGATTTTCAATGCTGACCTTCATGGCTTCAATGCCGTACTGACCAAAAAATCAAAATCAAAATATGTTTTTAAATTTTTTATAAGATAAACCAAAGCCAGGGCAGGGATAGTGACGGATTGTTGAAAAACGGTGGCAGATTGATTGGGAGAGGTGGCAGTGCAGTACCAATCTTCTCCTCTTTGAAGAGCTGCTGGCTGAGCTCCTCGCGTTTCAGCGTGGAGTAGCCGCTAGATGGCGCCGCTCTGGCAGGAGTCCTGGAACAATTCACAAACAATTTCGTGAGAAGATGGCAAGCGGGCACGAGGTTCACCTGATGTTAAGCGATCACCGCTACCCCAGTGAATGTATTCAGTATTTAAGCTCGTATTGAACATCATAAAAACTACCACCGGTTCACTAAGCTATAGAAGAACCAGCAATGTTCCTGGACATCTACAACACTTGACAAGTTGCAGATGCGTCGCGATCCATCAAAAAATTGGGCTCCGGTTACCTCACTCACCAGATGGAGAAAGTGGTACTGGCTCAGACGAGCCTGGCCACATCTCGACTGTCTTCCGAAAGCGGGTGGACAGTTTGGTGGAATGAACTCGTGACTTGTCACTGTCAATATCTTATTTACGATTATGCTATCGGATCTATCGCAGATGAACTTCTAGTCTATAGAAATGTCCGAATTTGAAATTAAAAATTAACATCGCTTTGGATTGGGGACAATTATTTGAGTGACCCACGGTTAATTAAAAGTCAAAATATCTTTATTCAAGCTAGGGTTAGCTTAAGCTCTTATTGAACATCAAAAAAAGACCACTTAATTGTTTCAGATCTATATGGTTGTCGACGTGAATTTCTAAGTGCAATATTTTCGAAAATGGAAAAAATAAGTTTTAATCATTATCCGTTAGTTTACACAAATACGTAAATAGATTTGACATGAAGTTGGTCCGGCCTTGATATCGTGTTCAACAGTCAACAATAATTATAACTTTTATTTTATTTCAATACAATGTTACATTTTTCATTGTTGCAAACAATCATCGGTAATTAATTATCTTTTGTTTGCTTTCATTGTTTCTGTACTTTGAAATTGTATTGTGTCTGTGCCCTTTTGTATAGCGTCAAAGAAAACCTTACCCCCGTCTGTAGTCGAAGGACGTGCTCTCGGCTGTATCAGACGCGTATCCGCCTGCAATTGTGTAAGAAAAAATATGAGGAAAATGGAAAAGTATGAAAAGAAAATATTTGTAAACTATACAGGATGATTTTTAGACGAAGTTCATATTTTGACATAATGTTAATTGAGCATTCTATGATTTTGACAAGAAATGACCAAAAAAATATCAATTCAAACATTATTCGTTTATCCCGTTAGAGTGGTTACCCTATTGATAAGCGGCTTAGTAATTATGCGTTCAGCGAACAGTTTCAGTGCTCCTGAATAGGTTATTATATTGAGACGGTAAGCCAGGAATTTCTAATAGGATGTCCATAAAGTTTGCAAAATTAAAAATAATCTTTGAAAAAAAAAAATGAAGTCACAAGTACGTACCAGATCAGATTTAGAATCAAATTCTGCATATGCTCTGTTAATATGTGCGTCGTCTATAAAATCAGCCTGTATATAAGTACATAAACAACTTTTAAGTATTCTTTTTTTTATGTGAAAAGTTGCAAATGTCAAATTAATACCGCCCATGGACATTTGCAACACCCGATGGCTTGCTGGTGGATGCGTTGGCAACCTTGAAAAACGTGGGCCCCGGCTATCTCACTCACCAGACGAAGCGTATTATATATAATCTTCTGCTCATTGTACAACAGTAGGGTATATAACCACTTGCAGTATATTCCTAAGGAAGTGTACTATATAGATATACACATAATATAACAGATTTCCACCGATAATTTACTCGATATCTTTGGAAACCATAAGGCGTTGAAATTTGATAGGAATATTCCTTTCGCCGAGTAGAGGTCAGCTAAGAACGGATTTTACGAAATTCCCCATAACAAAGTTTGCTGGATCAGCTAGTATATATATATATCATGCTATTTATTAGGCGAAGTACCACCACCTAACAGAAGACCGACGTGAAGTGGGAGTGTGATACTTCTGCGTTGCAACTGTGGTAGGACCACGCAATGGCGTTCACTGTTGCACGAATGGGCGGGTCCGTCCGGGTAAGTACCACGACCTCACAGAAGACCGGCGTGAAGTAGAAGTGTTGCACTTGTGCGTTTCGTCTGGCGAGTAAGGTAGCCGGGGCCCACTATATTTAAAGGTGGCAAAGCATCTGCAACACGTGTGTTGCATTGTCCATGGGCGTCGGTTATCAATTAACATCAAGTGAACCGCCAGCTCGCTTGCCTTCTTCCTATATAAAAAAAGAGTCGCTCACTCTTGTACAGCTGCCTCTCTTGATCCCTCTGCAAATCGTCCAGAAGGGAGTCCAGCTCTTCCACGTTCTGCGTCATCTCTTTAGTCACCTTCGAGTTGACTTTGGTGTAAGCTGGAAGCAAGACGATACAAACCACTAATGAAAATAGAATATGGCAAACTTTTGTAATTCTGCCATTCAAATGTTCTTTAAATCTAAAAAACAACATGGCAATAAATTACTTACTTTTTAACCACGTTTTTATAACACCTTCATTTTTATTTAGATACTTCTCAATTATCCTGATCGTAAAATCATGAGTCGCCTCGCAGGAAAGTTACTTTAGAATCGAATTCAAAAATGTTTATTGAATAAATTCACTAAAAGAGAAAAATGCTAGTATGTACCCTCCAGTTCAGAGGGGATAATAGAAAAGGGGATAGAACCTACGAGTATCCTCAACGGAAACTAAGTTCACGGCAGATTGTAAAATTTGTATCGAACATACAGACATACAATAGAGCGATATTGAAAACTCGTTAACGTTTCTTTAAATTGTTACTCCGCGATACGAAGGGTGGAAATAGTGCACAGAGTGGGACTATGTAAACATGGTACCTATAATCCCATTGAGTTACAGTCTTATAAAAATTAAATTGACTCGACCAGAAAAAATATCAGTTAAAACCACTAGTATAAAAATCTAAACGGTAAACTTGGGGTTTCTGTAGCAGATTAAAAAAAATGGGAAGAATGTTATTAGATTTTTAAACCTTTGTAATTTTGGCTTCGTGTGTAATGTCTAATAAAAAATTCTCACCCGGGGAAGTCCCGACCGTCTCGTAGTTGTAGGTGCGCGTACCAGTCGTGATCGCCGGGATTTCCCTCTCCTCTTTCTCGTAGTAGTACGAGCTGCTCTCCGCGGACTTGGGCGCGTTTCTAGGAGGGATCGTGTACTCCTGGACGTAGAGATTGAGAGTATTTGCAATTGTGTTTATGTTTTGTACGAAAATGCTTCGATTTTAATGTATTTCAAGATTTATAGTATGTTTATTACAAACTTTAGCGAAAAATAGATGTGATGTGTTGCTCGGCTCGTGTGAGAAGCGCTCCATTGAGATAAATTATATATAGTAGGTTTGAAAGTATGTTTTTTATATTTAACTGTGGTACGTACACGCAACAGTGTTCGCTGTTGCACGAGTGGGCAGGTCTGTCCGGGTTGGTACCACGACCTCACAGAAGTCCGGTGTGAAGAAGAAATTTGTCAAGCGCCAAAAACCGTCTTTGCAGATGCCAAGGGCGGGCATTAATCACACCAAAGGGCACTCATCTACATCATCATCATTTTCCTGCCCTTATCCCACATAGACAGGGTGGTTTTGGCCATATTTTTTACGACCTAAATGACGTCAACCCTCTTTAGGAAACAAACAACCAGATCTGGAACAGTTATCTGTGGACCACACAAATACTTGCCCCGAGTGGGAATCAAACTCACGACCACCAACGTCGAAGCCAATATCCCTCACTACATATCAATGCTCTGTCATAATCTATTAATCTCACCTCAACAGTGTGGAAGTCTTTGCGATCGTACTTGCCGCCGGGCAGTTTCTCTTCCTTGTACTCGTAATGGTACTCTCTGGTCCCGGTGCCGCGGCCCAGCGAGTCCAGCTTGCTGCCCTTCGGTATGAGCTCCGACTTCAACATGTCTGGCAAACGTGACGTCATTATCTTCTCGTTTCATTAACGTATTTTATTTATAATGTCGAAAATAAATATCATCACTGCTTATTACGCTGTAGGCGTAACTATATGTTTATCTTAAAGAAATGTCGCTTTAAGTATGTCTATCTTAAAAATTTAACAAAATAAAAACAAAGAAAGGATTGGGGAAATCGAGTGAAAATTAACAAACACACAAGTGACTTTTAGTGATGAACGTTTTTATCAATAACTGACAAAAGTTATATCACTGTAAGAGATAACTGTTAAAAGTTATAATAAAGTTTACGATCAAGCTGAAATATTTCACTTACATTCTTTTATCTAAACACATAGACAAAGTTAAACAATAAATCGAAGCCAGTTTAGGAAATATCACCACTAGCTGCAATGTGTCTATATTTAAATAATCTATATCCATCAATCTCTATCGTCATGACCATGGAAACTTATTAGTCAATTTGAAATACCAGCACCAGCATCATACTATTTTATTACACAAACAGAATATTCTGGTATCCTCACCGAATTGTTCGTCGTCGTAGGGCACGGTGCCTCTGCTGGAGAACTCCTTGTACTCCTTGTGTTTCGTGTATGATTTGGTCGTCATCTTTAGTGATCTGTGTTACCTGAAACAAGGATATCCATACTAATATTATAAATACAAAAGTAACTCTGTCTGTCTGTCTTGCTTTCACGCTAAATAGTCTAGAAGCCCGAGAAAGGGCATAGGCTATTTTTAATTGGAAACTTTTTTAAAGAAAGATATTTATTTAAGGGCTTCAACGCGAGCGAGCGAAGCCGCGGGCGAAAAGCTAGTTATTTTATAAATGACTGGTTTTAATTCCTGGTTTCTTTGGAAATTAATGACGCAGTCTACAGGGTAAAACGTATCCTCAAATGGAAACGTGTTAATCGAACGTAATACATCAATCGCAAAGGCAAAGTTTTTAACATATAATGGACCGACTGTATAAAGTACCGACCCTGGATAAAGCCGGCGTGTACTAGAACTTTCGTCTGGTGAGTGAAGTAACTACAATCCCACTCAATATAAGGGTCAGGCAAAATCACTAACCACCAGGAGCTCGTTTGGATTCAAAAAAGGTTCCTTACTTAACTTAAAATTTTTTTTTTACTTTTTCTAGCAATGAGAACATATTGGCAGGGTTTGAGTAAATAAGGAATAATATGCGAAGCGATTTATCGGATTGGAAGCAAACTTATGTCCACAGACAGCTTGCGATGGGAGTGTCACAAATTCATAATGCTTCAATAACGCATAATTCATAGCCGACGTTAACGGCTATTTATTATTTCCCACTACAAAATTCTAGATATATTTCATATCGGTGGCGCCAAACATCGTCTGCTTCATTTTTGCGCCTTCTTACTTAAGTAGTAAAGTTTATAATCTCAATTTCCTTTTGCTGGCGACTCCAATACTCGTCAGCGCCGTCACGTAAAGTCGGGAACCAGGGCTGTTAATCGTTTTATTTTATACACTTTAGAGTTCCTATTTCATCATTCATTTCTTTTGAGGAAAAACCTTTTGCATTTCACGTATATTTTGGTTTTCCAATAAAAAGTATTAGTGTATTATAAACGTTAAAAAGAATTTCTGTTGCAAATTTCTATTGACTAATTGCCTATTAGGAAAATTAGCATGCGCTTAAGATTTCTTCCTTATTCAGGTACTAATTATAATCTAACATGAGATAAAAAAGGAGATAGAGAAGTTTAAGAAAAATTACAATTGTGAACAAAAGAAAATGGATGTATTGGACGTTTTGTGGTGTCATAAAATTTACGTGGTTTAATACTGATACAGTAATATCTGAGAACATATTTTCTTATTGTGGATGCGGTCAAAAACTTTCTCATTTCATTTGCACTACAGCTACCATACGATTAAATTATACTGGATAATAATCAAATGGGAATAATGATATAAGTTATACTTTTTTAGTGCGTTAGAGAAAAAGGGTGCGAATTACTGCGTAGCGCACGCACAGCGACATGAAAATAACAGCCAGTCGATAAATATCCATTTGGTAAAGTTTCACATCAACAACGTGTCAAAAACTCAAAATATTAAAAAGAATACCAAAAATAAAGCATTTTACATTCAAACACTTCGCTAATGAAGTCTCAAAACGCGAAGTTTATGACATAGCAACTGCCGAGCCATAACATATCCAAAAAATAAGTTTTAATGAAAATGTCTCGTTTAGTGTTATATAATAAATTCAGTTGCAGATATCATTTAAACACAAATATAGCATAAAGGTACTGAGATCCGCTTCAAATATTTGCAGGTCGGACCCAAAGATTTAAATCGTCGATTTAAATACTTGCACCGTCACAGCCTACTTTAAGCCAGCAGCCCTATCAGAATCTAAATAGGGTATTTAGAGCTTTGACACGATTACGCAGCATTACTCGGAGTCGGTGCAAGTGTTGTAAAGCAGGTACCACGTCCCACGCAGATCGCATTGTGCGGCGCGAGTCACTCTAATGGTATCTATTTACGACAGCCCCTGTCGTTTCTTACGATCAATGTGAGCACCGCCTCGACGAACCGAGTTTCTACTACGCGACTGGTAACGCGTGACTTGTTGGTTTTATTGTATAGTACCACACCGATTTAAAGCTTCCGTCCTGTCCGAATACATTGAACTTCTTGCTGCACGAATAGTTTATCACCTCGTCACATATTTTTGGCGTAAACGTAGGTTGGAAACACTGGCACGGTCGAATACGTTCGTGCATGTTTTCAAGTATGCCCGATGTAGACACTTATTGTATATCATTTTCACCTAATATAATTGATATCTATGAAACATATTTGGATACCGTATTCCATCACAATATCGGATTTCAAATACTTATCATCACACAAACTTACAGATCGTCTTCATATATGTAGATTATAGATTCATACCAAATCTCGGGTATGTACGTAGGCTACAGGTGATTGGCGAGTGGTGTGAGCAATAAAATAGCAATGAGTATGTAAATAACTCGGAAAGCCACTGTCCTCGAACCGCCAAATGTGGAAGTAACTGGGTGTCAGTGTGTCACGGCAAACAGAACACAGCTCAGATCGTATTGAATGAAACACCAGAGCGGTTTTTAATTTAAAACGCCATATGGGTGTTATAAAGTTATGGCAGTTTTTTTTTACCTACTGCCTCTGCCACAGAGTAACACCACTCGATAAGTTGACTGGTAGAGAATGCTCTTAGAAACGCTTTCGAAGTAACACTTCAAAATAAATTAGGTTAGTTAATAAATGATGAAAGTGAATTTTCTAACTACGTGCGCATAGCGATGGCGACCATCAAATTAACTACATTTTACAAGTTTCGGGCACGTACATAGAAAAGAAGGGGACAATAAATATACAGAGTGTCTTTACCATCGCGACAATAAATAAACACACATATAGAGGATAACTGTTTAAAATTGTATTAAAGATTTACATTCTTTAAACATCAATATTTACCGAGTACCGTTATCAAATTTTCCAAAACAAAGAATTTTAGAACACCCTTACGTATAAAACTGTAACGTAAAGTTCATTTGTAAAGGTCACAAAGCATATGAATGGGTTGAATGAATTTAAAAGAGACAAAACATACTGTTAGAATTAGAGGCTTGTAATGCGGCGCTGTGTTTGTTTCTTCAAAATTTTGTTTCTTCTTTACTTAATTAGTTTGTTTGAAAAAAAAATAATTATGGATTTTTTTAACGTTAAGATCTTTTATGATTATTGGCAAGTAGCGTTAGACGTGTGTTCATTTATTGTCGTGGTGGTAAAGACGCTGTATACCGAATACAGCGTTCGATATTGTGTGAACGCATCGTAGTTTTTTTTATAGCGACAAAGAAGAAAAAAGTATTCATTATTGACCACAGGCTTCTATAGACTGTACTTGTGAACCGTCTTACCGTATCGGCACTAAAAAAAACTGAACGGAATTTTTAAGTTAGGCTTTTACTTGGCATAACATACTCTAACTTATAATAGAACGCAAGTAATAAAAAAATCTCATACTTCTAACCTTGTTTTCATAATGTAAACATACCCAGCGTGCTTCCATGTCACAAACACGTTCATAATATAAGATCCTTCAGCGATTAGTAACGGTGGTTTTCTAAATTTCAGCATATTATTGGCATACAATCCACTCGGAATTTGTAACAACCTACTCAATAAATATTTCGATGTCTACTTAATGTGAACGAAGACAAATCACTGCATTAACCAACAAACGAATTCTATACAAAACTGACACAAAACATTCATTGTTTTCAAATATGAGTACCCGATGTCTGATTAAATGTGGGTAGTTCGACAAAATAATTTTACTCGTCCGCATCTGCGGGTAGTTCGAAAAGGTTCTACATCGCGCTAACAAAGTTCCCGTGGAAATAAACATATATAGTCGCCAAATTTAGTGCCTTCCGGGGTCAGCAGCCTCGAGGTAAGCCGGTCGGCCAAGCCGGCTAACAAAAGTTGGTGCCGAAGTAATCAAACGGGTCCTGGAAAGGGCCTATAACCATTGTCAGATCATTTCACCGAAATGTGAACTAAGCACCTCGAGGTGGGCGGCACAACCCTCTATCAGGGTTAACTCGACCCCCTTTTTTTATATTAAGAATACTGTACTTTTTTTTAAATGGTTCATAGGCGACGAAGACCTGGCTCGTTTTTAAAGAAAACTCAAAACATTAAGGCGCGAAAACCCTTCTATAATATTATAAATCTACATAAATAAATATATTTTGTGTCAGATAAAATGATGGATCGGCCAATATCTGGTCGGCTGCGCGTCGGATGTGACGTCATACTCTCAGCTTCTGGCTCCGATTGACGACGGCTTGACACTTCGTTTACTTAACGATTAATTAGTGTCAAGTTAATTACCATGTAGTTTTAACGATCCACGAAGTATTTTCTAATTAGAGCTATGTATCGTGTTAAATACCACCGACTAATAAGTGGTGCTCTCCGAAAATATGCGGGTTAAAAATTTTAAATAATTAGCTTGTATAATTCCCTGGTTATGATTTTAGAAATGAATCTTCGTTCGAACTTACTTTCTATTTTTATAACCTTAAAGTTTTTTCTCAGTATAGGACAGACTTCCATTATCATTAATTTCATAAACATAAAGTTATCTTTAAATTTCCAATCGTTTTTCTTATGTGCTAAGTGTTTGAACTAATGTATGTTTATTTTCTTAGCAACTCGTGCGCAATATATGTAAATATAGTATTGCATTCGATATGCGGCGTTAACTAATCAATGATTCAAATTCAAACTTTTAATTATCGGTACATGCAGATAGCAGTCTTTTGAGAATGAATTAAGGCTTATAATAGCTTTCATTCGAGAAATTCAAGCGATGAAATCATATAACCAGTTCCTTGCCTCATTCACGTGTTTACGTCGCGGATTCGAGATGTGTTTAAACCCAAAAGAGAGAAGGGAATTCGTACTTATGCCAACGAGATAAAGTAGATAATCAATCGATAAGATTATTCATGCATAGTAACTATGCGATTTCTTGATAAAACATCAAAACTATACACGAAACAAGT